CTTCCCTGGCTTCCTTCACTGTCCATGCTGGGTAAGCCAGGGTACTATGTTTCTGAGCTTCCATAACGGCCTGCAGATGTCCTTGTTCCAGCTGCACAATGTACCAGACTTATCACTGTCTACTGCTCCTCTAGACTGAATTCTCCTAGGGCTATTGTCATGCCTTAGTAATCTCCCTATTCCTACTCTGACCATTGTGCTCGGTGCATAATAGCCACTCACTAAATATTTGCTGAATGCTAAATGTTGCATACTTAAGTGAATTCCTTGGAACAGGGCCCAGGCCTGATTAATCTTAGTATCTCCCAGATCTCTGGCATGACAGAGAAGACAGCAGGTGTGCTGTATGAATTGGTGTCCACCCTGGCTTTGGCACTGTATCCAGAGAGGCACATCATCCTCGATCCTTGACCAAGGAGGTGCAGGGCCAATCCAGATGTGGTCTTCTGGGATGTAGGCCAGGACTCAGGAGTAGGAAGCACAGTTTATGCTTATAAATGCTGTCGGGTTTTTCTTATTAGTATTCGCATTAATCTCTAACAAGCCTTAACCTCCTTTTTAAGCTTCTGTGCCCAGAGATAATTGGGTATTTAGGCCATGGTTTTTCTAAGCTATCCATTTTGCAAATCAAAGCCTAATATGGGATGCCCTTTGTAGATGGCAGCCTCTGTGGAAAGGTCTGGAGTGGGGATGGCTGGTACTTCTAGGCTGCTGCTCTTTGTGAACACAATAACCATGTGGGTATAAGTTTATCCCTGATGGCTTTCCATCTTCCTTTTTGGTTCCTAGAGAAGTTTAAACTTCCTTTATTTTATTTTATTTTTCTTAGTATTATTAATTTTCAGTTTTTTGCTATAGGGTGCATGTGTTTGCCAAAGACAGACGGAGAGAGGAAAGTGAGTGAGAAATCACCTCCTGGGGGGATGGTCATACTGCAATCCCTTCTCCTTCATTTTCCTCTTGGAATTTTGGGCATGCGCATACATGTGCCTGGCGTGTTTTTCCAGTCGTTGAGTCTGACAAGAACTGTGAAGTTGCCCATGTGGGATCTAGTTGCCTTAACCACTATGCTACTGGCTGGCCTCAAACTTCTTTTCAATAGACCAGTAGAAACAGAGAGAAAGAGACATCACCTAATCCCACTCTTGCATTTGACAGACAGAGAAAGTAGGGTCCAGAGTGAAAAAGTGGCAAAAAATTGTGAAATAGACATGACCATCTCTCCCTGACAGATGAGTACACAGAGGCTGTAAAGCTGAGTGACCCACTCCTGGTTCCCTAGCTAGCAGTAGACAGGACCAGATATGATTTTACAATTGATTCTAAAGGCAAAAGCTGTCAATGCTACACCCAGCTGCTTCAAATGTGATTTTCCCCAGTGTTCAGGGAAAGCTGTGAGTCACAGCTGTACGAAGGGTACTGGGAAGGCCAAATCTATTTACCCAACTCCAGCTCTTCTTGAACCAACAGAAAAGCACTCTGACGAAAGACAAGATTCCCCACCTGTTCTGACAGGCAGCAGTGGTGCCCTTCGCACTTCCATTCAAAAGCTTTGCAAATTGGACATTATAAGGGTTGAGATTTCTGTATGATATCACATAAAAACAAGCCATGGCCAAGACACTGTCCTTTCTTTTTGACTCTTGGCTTACAGAAGTTGTTTTAGAGCAAGATAACATTCAAGCTAAAAACAGAGCTGTGTGGATAAATGTTGTATATGTGAGTGTCTGTGAGTTGTGAATACTGACTATGTGTGTGATTCCAGGGTTCCTAAGAGAGTGTGGTGTCTACATGACATGAGTGGGGGTGGGTAATAATCTGTTTAGGAGATGAAGGATCAGGACTTCTTTCTCCTTCTCTCTTCCTTTCCTCTCTCCCTCTTTTCCTCCATCTCTTCCCTTCTTCCCTTCCAGCAATAGGTAAAGGCACTACGATTTTTTCATCTTTCAGAGACATCTACCTTATAAATAAATAAATCATCAAGCAAAATATACTCCTGGCCCATTACCCTCCACCCACCCCATCCAGTGAGCTCTAGTTATAATCGTAGCTAGAAGGAGGTAATAGAGTAGGAAGAATGGAAGGGATAAAGGTAGATCTGAGGAAAGGCAGATATCCTTCAGGAAACACTGAAATGAAGGTCAAGGTTATATTCTTTTTTTGATTTTTATCCACCTTTTTATTTTATGAGCAATAAACAGAGGAAGAGTGGACACCCCCCCGCCCCCACCACCAGAGGATCCTAATGTTGCAATCCACCCCACCCCCCTGCCTCAGCTAGCAAAGAGCATTAATCTGATAAGGTGTGCATATCCAGCATACTCAGGGAGGTCTCCAGACACAAGCCCAGAACTTTCCCAGGTGGGTCAGCCTCACAGAGCAGTAAGTTCCACCTCTGCCCCACCATCTGGGCCCTAAGAAATTATATTAAGTTTATCTGCTAGAAGGTCATTATTTGTTTTTGCCTTCTGCCGTGCAGTAAAATGAAAAAAATTACAATGATGGTAGAGTCATGAAGACCAATCCTCAAGTATATTTTCTGCATCTTCCGGTAGAACTTTTGTTACTTAACCTCTCAATTCTTTTATTTTATTTTTTTTTCTGATCTGAAAACAGGATCATTAAAGCACATCTTATCAGGTTACCAAGAGGAGTAAATGTTATGGTATAAGAGAGATACAGTGCTCGGCACACAGAAGGCACCAAAAACACCCAAGCAATCCTCACCTTTTGGGAAGCTGTGTAGGCCAGAGTGCATAATGTTGGCTTCAAAATAATTTAGTATTTTTATATGTCCAACTCCTCAAAGCACCTTTATAAAGTACTAGAATTCTATCTGTAAATTGTTTCTAGCCTTGCATTAAATATACACGCAGAGCAGGAACCTAAATATCTTTGCTAAATTATCCTAAGAACAAAACAAAAATTACAAATGAAGAATGGAGGGGGGTACTAGTTATGAATTATGAAAATCCATGTCTAATGTTTTTATAGGTTGAATCCTACCTTTTAGCTCTGCAACCTGGACATTGGGAAGCCCAGAGGCTTCCAGACTTGGAAGATTGGGGAAAAAATTAAAACAAAACAACCTCTCTGTTGTTTTTTCCAATCCCCAATTATGTTTTTTAAATAAGTTGAAATCAAAATGTTCTTTTTCCAAATGGTTTATGCTCCTCTGAGCTGCATCTGACCTCTCAGCACCTCCTCATTCTGAGCCCCATCAAAGTAGCCGAAAGCAGGAAGTACCTTGGCACAGGGACCTCATTTGAGGGGAAAGGAAAGACCATATTTAATGACAAAGAAAAACAGACTAGCCCACTGTCTGTGCTGCAGCTGGAGGGAAGCAGGACAGTTCACCTGCACTGTCCATGTGTCCCCAGGAAATCAGAGCAGACACTGCCAGAGGAAGGACAACACATGAATTTAAATAATGGTTCCACCCATACTTGAAGGATCTCTAACATGCTGAATCACTCTGAGCCTTGGTCTCTGGATCTTAGAAATGGGGACAAGGATTTCATACTTCACAGTGTTGTTAGGAGGCCAGGAGTCCTTGTTGATGCAGAAGTATTCGGGAAGGGACCAGCAGATGGCGTTGCATTGCTTGACTTGCATGTAGTTGACTAAGGTTCCAGTCCCAGACCCAGTGGCTTCAAACTTATGCCAGGCACATGTGCATGCATGACCAAGATCTCAAGAGGAGCATGGAGGAGAAGGGATTACGGTATAGCCATCCCGCCAGGGGTGATTTCTCACTTTCTGTTTGTCTCTATCTGGTGAGCACATGCACCCTACAGCAAAAATCTCTCTCTCTCAAAAAAGAGTATTTTGTAAAACTCCAAATCACTCTAGGTAGTCATATAATGATGATTTTTAAAGCCCTTTCATCAGTAGAACATGGAGGAGGACCTCCATGTAAACGTTGTAAACATTGCAAAAAATTAGAAGACTTAGGTCTGAGTAGCAGTTGTTTATGTAAATCTTGGCAGTTCACTTGGCAGTTCTCTGAGCCTTAATTAAGTAACCTTTTCCCACAACAGCGGTAATATTTCTTAAATAGTTACGCTGAGGATCAAGCGAATTCATGGATTTTCAGAAAACAATGCTTGTACCATAAAATATTATACAGTCAACTTGTCTCTTGAGAAATACATTTAAAGACTTTCAGTAGACACCTGAAACTATGGAGAACACCAAGCCCTGCATACACCACGTTTTTTCCTAAACATGAATACCTACATGTAGGGTTTAATTTATAAATTAAACACGGTAAGAGATTAACAGTAGCTAATAATAAACTAGAACAATTTTTAAAATGCCATAATAAGAATTATGTGAATGCAATCTCTCCCTCTCTCAAAAGACCTTACTTTACTGTCATGGATAAATGAAACTTGTGGAAGCAAAACCACATTGAAGGGGAGGGAGACTGCTGTACAAGTGTCTACTGCTTTCTAATTTCAAAATGAGTACACAATTCTTATTAAGTAGCCTGGGTAAAAACTTTTTATTTTCTTCCCCCCCCCTCTTTTTTTTTTTTTGCTTTAGGACACATGTGCCTGCCTGCCTGCTTGCCAGAGAGAGAAAGAAAGAAAGAGAAAGAGAAAGTGAGAAATCATTCCCCACCCAGGGGGAATGGCCATGCTGCAATCCCCTTCTCCAGTCTCTTGGGATTCTGGGCATGATTTTCAAGCTGCCATGTCTGGGACTTGAACCATATAACTGGCCATGTGGGATCCAGCACATTAACCTCCATCCCACCTGCTAGCCTAGTAAATAGTATTTTTATTTAAAAGATGGAAAAAGCCTGGAAAGTAAAAGAACTTCGGCTAGGTAGTGGCAGAATACAGAATATGAGCTCTCAGAAAAGAAAAATCTAACTTTTCCAGCTAATCTCTTTTCCAAGGATTTCACGATGAAGTTGGTGCCTAACATCCTGAGGGTTATAAGGGATTCGAGGTTGGGCTGGACTCCCTCCAATTCAGAGAGAAAGTACTTACCACCAAATACAGCATAGTATACATGGAGAAGGAGGCGTGGCCAGAGAAGAAGGATTTCCTGCAAGAGCAAGAGAGGGCCATGAAAGGGCCATATTCACACCCCTGATCCACGCTTGTGTGTCCATCTTCCCTCCTTAGACTGAGAGCTTGAGAGCAAGTACTGTTCTTGTTCATTTTCGCATCCTGGCAATGCTTGGGATACATGAGTGGAACAAAGCAGGCACCCATGTATGCATGAGTAAACAAAAGAATGAATGGACTTACCAGTGTTGTATCATAATGGTCTCCGAATGTATTTGTCTCAATCATGTGAATGTAAGTGTTTTAAAAATAGGACCTATGTCTTATTCATACATGTAAACCAGAGCCCAGCCCTGGGCCTGGCACCCAGTAGGAGCTTAGTAAGTACCCACTGAATTGCAGGCATACATTGTCATGGGGAAGTGGTGTCTCACCTGGCTTCTTGAACTTTGCTGTCCTCCCCTCTGCATCTGTAGTTCTGAATGTAGCCCTCGGAGCAGTTGATCTGGTTGAAATCTGGGTTGCAGACACTCAAGAAATGAGGGCGCAGGCGCCCTATGGACACTTTGGCAATGTCTGTGAAAGACTGGCTGATGGCACAGCCAAAGAGGAAACAGCCCACTTGCTTATAGAGGGCTGCTACATAGGGATTCTGGATTGTGGACCTGGACTTCTCCTTCAGGTAATAGATCCGGTAGAATTCCCCTGTGATGATCTAAAAGGAAACCAACAGAGAAATTAGAAATTAGACATATCAAAGCCCATCATCAAAACTGATGCTATATAAAATTAAAAATTAATGACAGAAGAATATTCACTATTTAACTACAAGTTATAATCCATAAAATCCCAATTTTCTATTTACAAAGAACACAAATATAAATGTACACAGGGTGAAAGATCAAAGTGCTAACACAGTTATGTCCTTTTCTGAAAAGTCCTACTTGGTCATATTATCACTTTGTCACAAGAAAATATACAATCAAATAAACACACACACACATATATATTTCTTTTTTTTTTTAAGAGCAACAAATAACTTGGCTATAAAACAAAAGTATATGAAGGGTCGAGGGCATAGTTGAGGGTAGCAGAGATGTCAGGATTTCAGCCCACCTCAGGACTCTGGCATTTGCAGTAAAGGATCACCAAGGATGATCTGACCACTGAGAGGCTCAGCCATTGGGCCAACGCTGAGTCATTCATTCATGGTGGGGTTGCTGTAGGAAGGCGTGAGTACACCAAGGCCAAGCGCTGGTTTGAATCCAGTCTGCCACCTACCTGATGTTCTCCAGCAATAACCACTCCACTTTCACTTTCCTCCTTCCTAAAAGGAGGCTACTTAACTTTGCAGACTCATTGATTTAAATGTGATAACATGAATGGGATATGACGTAGGTCATAGAAAGCGGATGTTTTTATTTCGCTTTCTGAAAGGATGGCGTGGCTCTATCAGTTTAAAAACCAAGAAACTTCAGGACAATGTTCTTCAGTGCATGGAAACAGTCAGCCCATGTGGCCTCCTCAGATCCTGAAGGATAGTGAGAGTCTTGGTGTTTGGACCCTTCTTCCATTCTACTGTGTCTACTACTTAATGTTTAGTGGAGACTTGCCACCTCTAAAAAAGAGGGTTGATTATTGGCTTCCTACTGTATACCAGTCATTGTTTTTATATCCTTTATTTCATGAAACACTCACAACCACCATGAGATAGAAGCACTGAGTCAGGAAAGGGGGAAGTACCTTGCTTGCAATGATCTGGTTTTACATGAAGAATGGAGGGCCAGACAGTGCGCTCTGGATAATGGCTATGCATCAGAGCACCAATTCTGCTTCGGTGATGCACAACCACACAGCCTCTTGGCCTTGTCTTAACTCCACAGCTCAGCCCTGGCCACTTCCTGGTTGCAACCACAGCTCAGGGACAGTGATGGTCAACTCGTCACTCACCACAGAAGTCCCTTTCACACTTCCTCACGAGGCCAGATGATGAGCCACACAGAGGGCGTGTTCTGACCACAAGGGAAGCAATAGACTGACATATCTGGACAGTCCTCTGCAAAGGCTCCCCTTATTCTTCTATAGCAGAGGAAGGCATCAGGGCATGGGGTCTGATCAAGGTCCTCCAAGGCTCTGAAGTCTGGGGAAGAATGGCCGAGTCGGAGGGAAACACCAGCTGGGCCCAGGAACAAGCAGGTACAGTAGTGAGAACAGCTACCCCCACTGCCAGCATTTACACAGTGACTCTGTGTTTATAAATGCTTTATAAGTGTAAGTGCTACACTTGTTTTCTTGGATTATATTGAGTGTGAGGGACATGGTCAGGGGCTGGTCCAACCAGTATTCTGGCTTAGCCATTCCCTGAAAGAACTGAACTAATAGTCTAAACACCTTTCTGCATTCGTGTTCAGACTATCAGTTGAAGGAACAAGTAAACGTAAGGGAGTAGGATAACGGTCCTCGGAGTTGCCTTATTGCAAGATTGGAAATATCCCCTGAACGTTACCAAGAGCTCTTTGATAACACATTGCAGAGATTAAAATCTGAGAAGCATGGCAAGTCAGAAATGAAAGGGGCCATTATACATGGAAGAAACTGAGGTCTAAATTAACTCGCATCTAAAGATTAGACCCAGGTGTACCAAGTCCTCACCCAGCATTCTTTCCTACCATTCATGAACTAATTCCCCTTTTGAACCTGTTTATACTTTTACCCTATGTAACCTTACAGGCTAACAAATTCCAGATGTTTATTAGTACCATCATGTTCTCTTCCTCTTTCTTATTTGTCTTTATTTATAAATCATAATCACATGACTTTTTACGTAGGGGAAGAACACTAGACTAGGAGCTGGTCCGGGTTCGAGTCCCTGCTTACTGAGTGCATCTGGGATAAGTCAATTTCTCTATTTGCAAAATGATGTGACTAAGCTCCGTGATTTATTACTTCATAATTGCAATATTTACTCTCAACTTTCCTATGCTACCTCCACCACTACCCTTCCAGCCAAGCAAAGGTAATAGCAATGACAGAGGAAAGCTCTTTCTTTTGAGAGAGCAAGGAACAGAACCAAGGCCCCAGGCACAGGCTCTGCCCTTGGATGGCTCCTGAGTTCCCTGAGCCATGCCAGGGCCACAGATTAAGAAATGATTTCTAAGCAGTGTGGCTTGAGCCTCCATCAATGTGACTTCCTGTCTGATGCTGAGGAAGAACACATGGACATGGTTTCCCACTGAAAATGAGCATACCTTGCATTAATTTACATGCTTAATGACAGGTGAGTCGCCTCTCTGTCTCCGTTACTTCAGGGAGGAGGGACCTGATTACAATTCAAGGACTCTTTGCAGCTCTAACATCCCATAATTCTAAAACTTCCACTGGCAGTGCCACGACAGTACGCTGCCAATTCAAATGCTTCCTCCTCTCCTGGGAAGGTAAAGTGGTCGAGAGGAGAACATTTCGTAGCACCACATATCCCTAATGACAGTGTTAATGAGAGCCGCCATCTCACGTGTGTTTTGCACTTTAGTCTCACTGAATCTGCCCTGCCGCTGAAGACATACCCATTCTACAGATGGGATACGAGGGATTGGAGAGGTAGTGACTTATTTGAGGGATTTGAGGCTAGTAAGAGACAGAGGTAAGAGGAAGCCCAGGTCTTCTCACTCTCAAGTTCAAAGACCAACAGTAGACTACACTGAGATAATTTTATTATTTCTCCTGTTATTAGAACCAATCTCCATTGTTGAGTAGCAATAGCATATTTTCAAGGACAGGGCCAGGCTGAAACCATTTAGCAGACACATGACTCTAAGACCACATGGCTTCTGGGGCAGCCCTGACAGATTTTGGAGTTAATGAGCAACAAATTATGTATTTTCTCTATCCTCTTGTACAGAAGGGTCGGGGAGTTGACAACACAGTCATAAATCATCATTATGAGCCAGCCGGACTTGGCTTCTTGTAATCCTAACCCTTAAAAGGCCATTTAATGAAATTCGGGCTGTGAAAGGCAGCCCAAATACCTCACCTCTACCGAAGAGGCGAAGGCTTAAATTGTTCTCCGACACGTTACACATCTAATTCTGGAGTCCTGGATTTACTGCTTTCGGACTTTATTCATTACTCACCATGTTTTTATTCCCGGGTAATAAAATAAGCTCTTCCCTCCCCCTCCTCTTCTAAAGGCTCCGTCCCCACCCCCTGGGCTCCCACCTAGAGCCCTCATTTCTGCCTCAGTCAGCAAGGTTGTGATATGTAAATTTCACTGCTGAGAAAAATGCCTTCAATGTTGATCCCTTCCTGAAATGCCAAGCAACAGATTCTGGGGATGATGGCAGGCTGCCAGGCAAGCAGAGAATTCTCCCCTACCTGCCTTTTAAAGCTCTTGGCAGCAAATCTGGAAACTAATAAAGTGGGAAAGCATTGCAATTAAGCCACAAGGGGACAGAAAGCAACCAGTCCCTGCTTGGGAATGGCTACAGTTTGGAAGCAGGTTGTCTCCAACTGTAAGGCAGCTCCTCTTCCTGTCTTTTAGTGAAAAAGAGCTCAACTGTCCAATATTTACAAATACTTACCTGTTCTAAGAGGAAATTTGGAGAAATACTAAGATAGACTTTTGGGGGCTGGTCCTGTGACCTCCTGGTTAAGGGAACTGTATCCCATAGGGTCAACTACAGTTTGAATCGCGTCCTGGCATCTTGTATGAGACGCACAGGGCACATATGCGTGTAAGTCCAAAATCCCAACAAGATAGGGAAATGGAGAAGAGACGGCGGCATGACCATGCCCCATTGGCAGGTGCTTTCCCTCCCTCTCTCTCTGGAGAGCATGTGTGCCCTTGGCAATTAAAAAATAATAATTTTTTTTAAAAAAGATACTTTTTGGAAAAGGGAAGAGCAGGGATGATTAAAAAACAAAACAAAACACTAACTTTGTAGTCAGAAAGCCAGGTGACAAACTCATCTATTATCTTAGACAAATGGGCTTAAAATAAGATTAATCTATAAAAAAAGATTAATCATAAATACCTAGTGGAATTAACTGCCAGGGAATTCAACAAAGTAATATGTCTAATGTCAGGTACCCAGCAGGGAGCCTTCCAAAAGTTAACTTGTTTACTTCTTCTCTGGAGAAGGAAAAAACAAAGAACACATACTTTGTAGAGACTATCTCTTCCAAGATACTTCTAAGTGCTTGTTGGAAGAGGATACTTTTACGGGTAGAATTTGGAAGTACCAATCCTCCAGGGCAGAACCAGAAAACCTGTGTATGGACGATGATGGTTTTGACTGCTTTATTAAAGATGTCTTATTTTTTAAAAGGGAAACAAAATAGAAAGCAAGCCTAAGCCCAAAGTAGAAAGAATAACCCTGTTCTATTGTGTGTGATTTTTTTAACACTCTATTTATAAATTACACCCAGAAAAGTAATCTTTTTGCACACACTGCTGCAGCAATCTCTCCTTTAGAGGTTAAGAACTCATCTTTTTCCCTGCCGAGTTTGAAGAACAAGTTTGCCTATATTCCAATCTGCTTTAATAATAATAACCACACAATATTTACAGCTTACAAAATACTTTCATATCTACTCTGTTGCTTTGCACGACACCCTATGAATGACCAATTATTGTCAATACTTTACAGGTTTTTTTATGTATGGCAAAAGCTGGAGAGGTCAATGAATCACCCTCAATCAAAAATGAGGCAGGGATGA